CATCGGTGCTCGAGCCCACTACACTGCCTTCCAGGCTGAGAGATACGGCTGCGTTTCCAGCCTGGACGTAGCGTGCTCGGTACACAGAGTGCCAACACTGACCAGGCCTTGGAGAAGACACTTAACACACATGGCGGGGGTGGGGGTGGGTGGGCGGTGACATGCTCAGCTGGAGGAGCTAGCAGAGGAGAAGCCCACCAGGTCCTGCAGGCCACGAGGCACCCCTGGCTGGCACCAGCTCCCACCGTCGTCAGAGGGCTCTCCAGGGGGAGGTGACCCAAGCACAAAGCCCAGGCCCTGGGGAGTAAAAGGAGCTCCCTGTCCAACCACGGGGTCTGCACATAGAGGCTGCAGGGGGTTCCCAGCCAGGCAGGCCGAGCCCATCAGGGAAGATGGAACAGCACCAACGCCCGCAGCTGGCTCCTCGGGGAGCACACGGCAGGGGTGCAGCCGGAAGTGGACTCCTGACCTACAGAACTCACCAGGATGGGAGAGGGCAGAGTGCCTCCACTGCTGGTCTGTGTGCGGGGGGAGGGCAAGTGTGCCCTGGGGATTCACCAGGGCAAAGGGTGAACGCGGACTCAGTGGAAGAAAAAACCCAAACCACTGAGAGGAAGCAAAGTCAGACAAACGCTCTGGGTGTGGGGTCCCAGCCCGACTTCCACTTCAAGCCACGGCCGGGAGCACACGGCCTCCTCTCTTCCCCCTGCAAATGTCCCACCACCTGCCCGCAAAAGTCAGGCCCTGCCCTGAGGGTGTCCAGTCCTGGCTGCAGCCTCTCCCCTCGGGCCAAGCAGGATGGTCCTGGGAGACAGAGAGCCGGACGCCACAGGCTGAGGGCCTTGCCAAGGGCGGGGTGTGAGGAGACACATGAGCGCAACCTGGTGCAGCATCTGTGCTGAGCCTGGAAAAGGAAGCAGGAATGGGAGACCTGGCAGACGGGCTGGGGGCCCTGCAGGTCACACGGCCATGGCCTTCTGGGGAGCTGGGCTGGGAGATGAAGCCCAGCTACACTGCTCCCTGCAAAAACTAATTAGCTCCTCGGTGTTGGAGCCCAGGGCACAATGACCCAAGTAAAAACAGCACAGGTGCTTGTTTGCCCCTCGAGAGCCAAACCATGATTTCTGTACTGCCACTCAGATCACAGCCCAGCTGCAATAAAAAAAAAAAAAAAAAAAAAAAAAAAAAAAACCTCCAAGTTCTGCTTTGTTCTATGCAAAACGCTGGGGCACTTGGCGTAGCAGTAGGATGCCTGCTTCCACGCTGGAGTACCCAGGTTTGATTCCTGGCTCTGGACCCCCAAACTCCTGCTTTCTGCCGACACAGTCCCTGAAGGCAGCAGCGATAGCTCCTGACACCCACAGGGGAGACCTGGTCCCCAGTCCAGCCCTGGCCCAGCCACTGCTATTGCAGGCCTCTCTCTCTCTCTCTCTCTTCCCCTTTCAAATAAGTGAAAATACATGCATACATACTTTGGTAAGGGTGGGATGTGTGATGAATTCTACAATTCCACGTGCAAGACAATGACCGACAAACCAACCTGAGTCACTCCAGGCTGGGGCCCCGGGACCTGATGCCTGGGGAGACCCGAGCACCTCACATCTGTCCCAAGCACAGTTCCAAGTCTTCTCAGCACCGGCCACACTCTCAGGCCAGGCCAGAGTTCCAGATCAAACCCGGCACAGGGACCCCGCAAACAGCGCACCCTGAGCGCCTGGCCTCAAAGCCACACCCCTGAAAGTAGGGCAGGCGGGGAGGCCCTGAGGCCCCAGACTCCCTCCCGGAGGGCGGGGCTAATCCTGGCCGAGGCCTGAGCTGGCCAGGGCAGATTAAGGTTCTTCCTCTGATTAGAATAACGCTGTTTTTAAGAGCAGATTCTAAGAAAGAAAACAGCCGGGGGGGGGGGGGGGGGGGGGGGGGGGACGGGACGTGCTCAGGTCCATCACACTGAACATGAAAGGATGACGTTTCCAAACTCTGCTTTCCGCTCGAGGTATTTACTAATGTGTTCTCTCTGAAGCAGGCTCAGGGGAAGCCCGAGATAAGAAACATTTTAATTCAGGGAAAAGACTTTTCCTTATTTTTGTTTTAAGCTTTTTGAAGCAGCATTTAGGGGGAGTGGGCAGGGGCCGGGGATGCTGGCACCCATGTGGGCGCTGGTTGAGTCCCGGCTGCTCCACTTCTGATCCAGATCCCTGCTGATGGCCTGGGAAAGCAGCAGGAGATGGCCCAAGTGCTTGGGCCCCTGCACCGTGTGGGAGACCTGGGTAGAGCTCCTGGCTTAGGCCTGGCCCAGCCCTGGACACAGCTGCCCTTGGAGTGAACCGGCGGATGGATACTCCTCTCTCTGTCTCTGTCTCTGTTTCTCTCTCTGTCTCTGCCTCTCTCTTTCTGCAGCTCTGCCTTTCAAATAGCAGATAAATCTTTAAAAAAATAAAAATAAAAAAATAAAGTGACATTTGGGAAAATCTGGACACCTACAAAAGACAGAAAATACGCTGAGAAGCTGGAGAGGCTGCACAAAGCCCCCAGTGGAGCCTGGGCTCGGGGTCTCCCATCAGGAGCTGCTGTCCCCTCTGGGAAAGCCAACAAGGCTGCTTCCCAAAGGCCACTCTCCTGTAAACGTACAACATTCCCTCTTCTGTTTTACTCAAGAGTGACTCAAGGAAGGAGCAGAGAGGGCCCTGGGGGACGGGGAGGGGGAGGACCCCCGTCTGCACCAGAAAGGCCAACAGCAGGGGCTCCCTGGAGCTGTTGGAAGTGGAACCAGCAGGGCATTCCGTCTCCAACGTGCCCAGTAACTTCCACGCCTGGCTGGCCGTCCAGTGTCCTGCTTGCCGAGGATCAGGTGACCACCAGCAGCCCTGCCCACTGAGCCTCCCAGGCCCTGCTCACACCAGTTCAGCGCTGACCCCACCCTACCTCCACCCAGACAGGGGAGCCAACCGCCCCAACCAGGCCTGCCTCACTCTTCCGGAGTGGATATGCTTGGTGCACCAAGTCCATCCAGAAGACCTCTGCCCCCACCAGACTGCCCACAGCCACCACACAGCCTCTTGGGCCCAGCCATCTCTCGTTCATCTGCAGGCCCCTCTCCTGGTGAATTTGTCGAGTGCTGACCGGTGTGAACCAACATCCCAAACAATCCAGCTGTCGCCAGCCTGGGCAGCACCAGGAAAAGTGGTCAGCTGGGCCCTGACCCAGTCTCCCTGATGTGGTTGGTGCCGGCCACACACGCAGCCTCACCTGTGTCACTGCGTGCATGTTCAGTGACCCCAGTCTGAGGAGGAAAGGGTGGGAGGGGCACAGGCAGCACCAGGGAGAGCACCCACCAGGGCCAGGGGACGGGCCAACCTCCAGCTGAGTCTCCCAGGCCAGCCTTGCCCTGACATCCTAACCACGTGGGTACCAGGGGTGTCTGGAGCCAGTGCGTTACTCTGGACATCAGGGCTGTCTCCAGATGTCTGGGCAACACCTGGGGTAACACCAGCCCCAGTTGCACTGCAGACAGAACAGCCGCCGCCTCCCCTCCCCACGCCCCCGCCACCCTGGGTGAACTCCCAGACCCCCATCTGGGCTCCGCAGCCCAGAGCATCAGGGAGGGAAAAGCCTCTGTGTCCAGCTCCCGGGAGCCCCTGCCCAGACCACGCAAGGTCAGACACTGCCCAGGTGCCCGGGGCTTAGGGAGCCCTGTAGGGACCTCAGGCGCCAGGTCCAAGAGACAGAACCGTTCATAAAGCTGCCTCCTCTTTGAAAACAAACTGCCTCCTCCGCCTGACCCAGCCTCCTGCTCAGGCTCGGCCACGGCCTCGTGAGCAGCAGTGTCCAGCACCACAGGACTCCAACCCCGGCTCACCACTCTTTTGTTTACCGCTAATTAACGGGGCCATATGGAAGGGGGTGGTCATCGTGGCCCAGGACCAATGGGAAGGGAGCCCTGGTGGCCAGCAGCCTGGGGCCGAGGGTGCCTCTCCCAGTCGGCAGAGTGGGGCTCTGAGGGGCCGCTGGGCTCGGCCCTGTCCGGCTTCTTGCCTTTTGTTTGCTCACCCAACAGCCGCAGGGCACCCCCAGGATCTCTGTCATGTCTCCTAAGCCAGGGGACAGAATTCCTCACCCCTCTTCCCAGAGGGCCGCTGTGGTAGACACTGTCCAAGCCTCAGGTAGCCACAGAGCTGGGTCTCAGAGGTTATGTCTCAGGAACTAAACACCCAACTCCACCAACCAGTGCTGTCCACTGACGCAAGGTGAGGCAGAGGCGAGAAAGGCTGTCGCTCAGACAGGGCCAGTGGCGAGAGCCCACCCCACGGTGTCCTTGTTGGTGGCGCGGATTTGTGAAGAAAGAAGCAAACTCAGGAGTGCACAGCCCCAGAACCACTGCGCTGCGCTGCCCGCATCGGCTCAGACCGGCGTCCGAGCCCACTCCAGTTTTCAGTTTAAAAATCAGTGACGCAAACACGACAGCAGCCCCACTCCCCAGGCCCACAGCCACAGGTCAAGGAATGGCCGGTTCCGTCCCCAGCGCTCCAAGCCCAACCAGACCAGACAGCCGCTCAGGCAGCCACAGGGCGCACACAGCCAGCCGCTCACGGCAGTGCCTCTCCTCGGTCCCTCGGGTGGGGGTCACACCAGAGACGCCCCCGGCCCGGCCCCTACTGCAGGGGGACCTGCTGCTGCCGAGGGGCAGACCGATTGCGCCTCTCCTCCTCCAGAAACGCGCACAAAGTTTCTGCCGTGGCCGCGGCTCCCCCTCCCCCCGCAGCGCTCCTGTCAGACGCACAACACGTTCACCAGCGGCTCGGCTCGGAGAGGCAAGGGCAGCAGCCGCGGCTGGCGGGCGGGGGAGAAAGCCGCGGCGTGCGGGGCAGCTCCGCGGCTGTGGTCCCCACACGGGCTTCTCCCGCAGAAAAAGCCGTGGCCGGCTGCGCGCAGCTCCCCACCGCACCCCGAGGGCACAGCCCGGCACCGGAGCCCGGAGCCCGTCTTTGTCAGCGCTGACTTACCTTCCCCAGCTATTGTCTGTCCTCTTTCAAAATGACATCACGGAAAGCAATCATGAAATTTACATGGGGGGTGCACGGTGGCCGGGGGAGGAGGGGAAGGCAGCTGCCTCCCGTCAGCGGTCACATGTGGGGAAGCCGGCGTGCGGGTTTCCATTAAACGTCCTCTCCGCGTAGTGTGCGAACTCCTAAGCCAGCTAAAGGCGACGTCTCATTTACTTAATGACCGCTCTCATTAGCGGCGGTGGCACGGGCTGGCGAGGAGGCTCCTTTGTAAATACGCTACCCATGAACCCTTGGGGCTCCAATATATCTGTTTACTCTCGGAGGTGAAATAAATTTACAGTATAGCATCAGAGAGATGGATCTGCGGAACTGGGGGTGGGGGGTGCCCAGGCCGGCGGAGCCTGTGACCCCTGCTCTGAGCCTCAGCTGACAGCAGGTGCCCGCGTGCGCCCACGCTGACTCGCCATCAATATGCAGCAGGATCAGAGTTCTTTTCATGCAAAACGCACGGAAGGGCAGGGAGCCTGGCGAGCTCGGCGCTGCCCCCCTCTGCCTCCCCTGCCAGTGGTTCAGTCCAATAATTCCTAATAGCACCAACGAATGACAGATGCCCGGGTTAGCAGGGCCACAGCGAAAGTGCTCGGCAGTATTTATTGCTGGTTAGGAATATGCCCTCCCATCATGAAGAAGGAGCCACAGAACTCATTACTCCAACGAGCCTGGAGAGTGACGCGTGGCTGAGCACCCGGGACTTACATGGAGCTGCGTTCTCACAAGTGCACAAACGTACCTACGCCACAGACTGGAAAAGCAGAGTCACCCACACAAAGAGCAAAAGACGCTTTCCTGTTGTCACGCCTTCCCCTTATGATTTTTGAAATAGTAAAACTGTCCCAAAGAAGCCGTGGGGTCGCTGAGGCTCCGGCGCTGCCCAAGCACAGGGGCAGCCACTGTGTGCGGAGTTCTTAAAACTGTCAGAAACAAGCGACCCAGCGGGAAGCAGAGGAGAGTCCGTGACACGCACAGCGGGGCGCCCGCTGCCTGCACACGGCCCGTCCACGTCCCACCCTGGGGGAGCCCGAGGTCCCCACACGGGAAAGGTGCAGCTTCCTGCACTGACCCCCGTCGCCATCAGGATTGCCGGGCACACACGGAGCTCTCAGACACCTGCAGAGTCTCCCAGCACGGGCCAGCTGCAGTCGCCGCTGGGAGACTCTGCACAGATTTCAACAGTGAAACTCAGTGGCCCCCTCAGTCATCTTTAAAGGGCCCAGGCCACCAGAGAGAGGAGCCGTCCGCAGCCAGAGCGTTAGCTTTCTTTAAGACAGCACGCTCTGGAAATCCCAGCTGATTTTCAAGCAGCTGGCTATGAGAGAGGATAAGTGGCTGTTTTCAACGTGCAGCTCGAGTTCTACACATCAGCCAGGGAACCACACCCCAGAAGCAAGTGGGTCAGGTTCTCACACACAAACACCTTCTGGTCAACAAAGGAGCACGAAGTGCAGGCCTGCCCTGGCTAGACCGAGGCTGACATCACTTAGCCAAACGAGAGCCGTGTCTACGCTACTGCCTGCCTCTCTTGTCCTCTCACGCGCTCAGCTGAGCTCCCTCAAAGCCACCTCCATCTCCTCTGCTCACTATGAGCACGGGGGTGTTTCATACCCCAAGCCCTTGGCACTCAGAAATGCTATTAAACTCTTATCGGCAGGCTGCAGGCGCAGGGCAGCCCCGCAGCCATTGTTCCATGGTGCAGATAGAATCACAGGGAGGCGGTGCTGAGCCAGCCGATTCCCCAACAATACCAGTGCTTGGTGAAGCCGCGTAACTCAGATTCGAGCAGCCAGACTCCGGGAACAACGACGTAGCCGAGGCGGCCGCAGGCAGCAGGGCCTCGTGGGGCATTGTTGTTTTTCAGGTAATGAAAGTCGTCTTTGCACAAACCCAAGTCTTTCAGCAGCCCCACATCCCACCTCGAGCCCCCATATCCCCCAGCAGAGGCGTGTGGCTCCGGTAGCCCAGCCCCACCTGGGCCTGAGCTTGGAAACTTCAAATCAGTGCCTGTCTGGCAGAGCCTAGAGCATGCTGGGTCTCCCCGGAGAGCATCAAGCAGTGTAAGCAGCTTCAGAGGAGGCTCAGAAACCCCCACGGACACCGTGACGGGGGAGGAGCCAGTGCCCCTCAGCCCCAGGAGGGGGCCAGGCAGCCAGCACACGGCGCTGCCCGGTCAGCACTTCGGACAGCGCCCGGCCCACACCTCAGCTTTGTTCTGGGCTCAGCAGAGAGAGGCGGCTCCAAACCCAAGGGCAGCAGCAAGGGGCAGCCTAAGAACTTTCCTACCTGGGGCCACAAGCTGTCAGCCTGTGTTAAAACCGTGGGCATTGTCTCCCTTCTCCAGGACTAAGCTCGGGGCACACGGCTGCCTGGCGGACTCTGGGGGACCAAGGGGTTGGCGAGATCCAAGAAGGACTCTGTGTGATTGCTGAGGGGGAAAAGGAGGTTTGCAACCCAGACTTGGGGCTGCAGACCCCTCCCCGCCACGAAAATGCTTTGTGTGAGCTGGCGTAGCCGTCAAGGTCCTCGAACGACCCACGGTCCCTGTGCAAAGCTGACAGAGACACCGAGTGTCAGGTCATTTGCTTCATAAAAACTCTTTCAAGTAATTTCGGCCTAAACTTTCTGCATCTGTAATTGGCACCACCTTCTCCGGTGACCAGCTGGGGGTGAGCGTTTTCTTATTTCCTTCTGAAAGCTTCCCGCAGATGGGCGCCTGCCGTACTGCTGCAGACGACAATTAGGGCTGTTGTGTGTGCAGCGAGATGGTCAGCATTAATATTGTATAGAACAGCTGAGGGCGGGGGGAGGAGGGGCACTGCCCCAGGCAGGCCTGGCAGATGGAGCAAACAAACCCGGAGCGGCTCTCACCCACACCCTGGCCGACTGTGTCCCGGTCTCACACTCACGCAGGCACTCACAGACACTTGGCACCCCCGCTTGTGAGGCTCAGCCACGTGCACACGCACTCACACAGGACTGTGAACAAGCTGCCCAGCCCTGGCTGGAGCCCCTTTGCCACAGTGCATCCTGGGGACATCTGTCACACACAAAGAAGCCAGAGGCACGCGCGCTCGCCGCCCGCCCCCTCGCCCAGCCTCTCTGAACCCCACCGGCTGTACTCGGCCTTCTGGGGCAAGCTGGAGGACAGGTAGATGGACAGGAAGCCGGGTTGGTGCCTGCACACACCCTGCCCACCGCCCTCCCTCCAAACCTCGGCCGGGCCACCGCTCCCTTGGCAGGAGCCCTGGCGGCAGTTCAGGAGGGAGCCTGCCCAGAAAGGATCGCTGAGCACTGATGGGGGCAGGGCGGGGTGCAGCTCATTAGCCCCTCCGGCAGCTTGGCAGCAGCCTGTGGGAGGGCAGGGAGGGGTGTGCGGGGCTGGGGTGGTACGCACCCAGGAAGGTCCCACAGAGCGCCATCCTGGCCAGGCAGCTGCTTTCACCTCCCGCTGCAGAAAGTTGCGGCACAAACTTGTGTGTCCCGGGGCCCTGAACCCCCACTGCCTGCAGCCAATCCAGACCAGGGAGCAGATAATCACAAAGTGATGCCCGGCAGCCTGCCAATGAGGCTTCCCTCCCCACACAATGGGCCTCAGGCCCCAGACAATGGCGCCTGCCTCAGGGCCAGGGAAGGGGAGTGGGAGAGGCAGACACAGCCCCTCCCCACACTCAGCGCTTACCCCCACCCCACTTACCCCCCACCCCGCTTCCTGAAGGGCGCCTGGCTGAGGGCAGGCAGGGTCTGTTCAGGCCTCCCCAGGATAGTCATCCACTGACCCCTGAGCTGTGTCCCAGGCAGAAATCCTGGGAGGAGGGGAGAGGCTGGGCGTGGGTATTGTGCAGGGGAGCCCCAGAGCGGGGAGGGCAGCACGTGAGGGGCCAGGTGACAGACCAGGGCCTTGGCTGCCCCTGGGCTTCCCCTGCTCAGTGCTGCAGGGTTGTCACTGACAGGTGGAGGCTGGGGGCGCCTGGGGCTGAGTCCCAGCTGGCCGCTCCCATCCTGGGCAGCAGCAAGGAGGGGGAGTGGGGGAGTGCACAAGCTTCCAAAGAGGCGGAGCTGGGCTGAGCCTACCCCACAGCGAGGGACCTCAGCAAACTGCAACACCCGCACGGGCAGTGAGGCCTCGGGCAAGGCGACTGGTCGAGCAGCCGCATCGGGAGGGTCCGGGGAGCGCAGACCCCACCCACGAGAGAAAGGCCCATGGCTGGGGTCGGGTGCCGTGTGAGAGGGCAGGAGGGGACCGGGGGCCTGGCTGGATGCCGTTAGGCTGCACGTTGTTTCCAAGTCTGAGACAGGGCAGAGACTGAGCTGGAAAGACAAGGCGAGCCGAGCGGGGCAGGGCCCCCGGGGCAGGGACTGTGGGCCGAGTCCCACTGCTGGCTGTTCCATCTGTCAACAGAGGGCAACAGAGACAGCCCTGGGCCAGCACAGCTTGGACAAGGCTCCTTCTGCCCAGCGTCCCGTCCCTGCGTCCCTTGCACCCCCTGGAGACACCCCAGGGCAGTGGGCACCTCCCAGCCCACAGCTGCCCGGTGCCCGCCCTGCCCCGTCTCTCCCCTGTCCCTGCATGGAGTCTCCAGGATGTGCTCAGAGTGCAGTGACGCCGGGTCCGGGTCCCTGGTCCCTGTCTGCCCGAGGCCCAGCGATTCCCGTCACACCTTGCCAAGCACGTGCAGCCTAGCCTGTTAGGGTGCCAGGCGCACTGGCCCCCAGGCCACACAGCTCTGGCTGTGGAGGGAGGTGGTCCCCTCAACTTGCTCTAGGGCTCTGGACAACCCCTGTACCTCCGTGCCCTCAACTGGAAGTGAGGCCTGTGCCTGACCCAGGAGGGGCCCCCCAGCCGTCTCCCCCGCCACGCTCCATTCCCAGTGAGGCTGCAGAGGGCCCCAGGGCTAGCAGCACAGCCTGCAGGGGTCCTGTCTGCTGGGCCTGTGTGGGACCCAAGAGCTTTGTGGCTGCAGCCGCGGGCTGTGGGCAGTCCAGGCTAGGGCTGGCACCTGTGTGCTCTAGTGAGGCCCCCCAGTATGTGCCCCAAGAACCCATCTGGTCTGCCTGTGTGGCCCCTCTGTCCCCTCAGCTACAACCCAGACCCTGCCCAGGGCCTCTCAGAGCCCCCAGCCCCAGCGTGGTCCAGACCACAGAGAATCAGGACCTTATCTCCGCCTGGGATGAAGACCCACAGGCCCAAATCCAGGAGCCACAGTCAGGCCAGCTGCTGCCCAGGTGCAGAGTGGTGGCACCGTGGAATGAGCCAGCCTATGGGCTGGCCTGGGGCACAGAAGCCACTCCCAGGACCCAGGCCCAGGGCCCTCAGGCTGCAGGGGCCTGGCCCAAAGTTCTGTTCAAAGTAGA